AAAATGGTCAACTGATTTTTTGAAAGGGTGCTGTCATAGATTGAATTACGTTCCCCCAAAAATGTGTGTATGAATTTGGCTGGGCCATGATTCCTAGTATTTTGTGGTTGTCCTCCATTTTGTTATTGTAATTTTGTGTTAAAGAGGATTGGGGGGGATTGTAACACCCTTACACAGGTCACATCCCTGATCGTATGTAAAGGGAGTTTCCCTGGGGTGTGGCCTGCACCACCTTTTATCTCTCAAGAGATAAAAAGGAAAGGGAAGCAAGCAGAGAGGAGGGACCTCATGCCACCAAGAAAGCAGTGCCCAGAGCAGAGCGTGTCCTTTGGACCCTGGGGTCCCTGCGCAGAGAAGCTCCTAGTCCAGTGGAAGATTGATGAGAAGGCCGACAAAGACAGAAAGCCTTCCTCTGGAGCTTATGCCGTGAATTTGGACTTCCAGCCTACTTCACTGTGAAGAAATAAATTTCTCTTTGTTAGAGCCATCCACTTGTGGTATTTCTGTTATAGCAGCACTAGATGACAAAGACAGTTGCCAAGATCGTTCAATGGGGAAAGAATAGTATTTTCAACAAATGGAGCTGGGACAAGTGGATATCCATATGCAAAAGAATGAAATTGGGCCCCTACCTCACACCATATATAAAAATTAACTGAAAATGGATCAACGATCTAAATATAAGAGCTAAACTAAAAAATTCTTGGAAGACAACATGGGTAAATCTTCATGACCTCAGATTTGGCAACGGATTCTTAGATATGACACCAAAAGCATGAGCAACAAAAGAAAAAATAGATTATATGGATTTCATCAAAATTAACAACTGCTTCAAAGAACACCATCAGGAAAGTGAAAAACCAACCCAAAGAATGGGAGAAAATATTTGCAAATCATATATCTGATAAAGGACTTGTATCTAGAATATATTAAAAACTCTTACAACTCAATAATAAAAAGACAACCTAATTTAAAGATGAGCAAAGAACTTGAATAGATATATTTCCAAAGAAGATATGCATGTGGCCGTAAATACATGAAAAGATGCTGGGCATCATTAATTAGGAAAATGCAAATCAAAACCCCAATGAGATACCACGTCACCCACACTAGGATGGTTAGAATAAAAAAGTCAGATAGTACAAATGTTGGCAAGGATGTGGAGAAATTAAAACTCTCATACAATGCTGATAGGAATATAAAATGGTGCAGTTGCTTTGAAAAACATTCTGCCAGTTTCTCAAATGATTAAACATAGAGTTACCATATGATTCAGCAATTCCACTAGTACGAATATACCCAAGAGAAATGAAAATAAATGTTCCCACAAATACTTATACACAAATGTGTTTAGCAGCAGCATTCTTAATAGGAAAAGGTGGAAACAACCCAAATGTCCATCAACTGATGAGTTGAAAATAAAGGTGGTACATACAGTGGAATACTATTCAGCCATAGAAAGGTAGGAAGTACTGATACAAGCTAACATGGATGAGCCTTGAAAACATTATGCTAAGTGAAAGAAGAGAGTCACAAAAGAGCACATATCATTTAGTTCCATTCCTGTGAAATATCCAGAATAAAGAAATCGACAGAGACAGAAAGTAGATTAGTGATTCCTTAGGGCTGGACAGGAAATAGGGGGTTGATAGCAGAAGGCTATGGGTTTTGTTTTTTTGAGGTGATGAAAATATTCTATAATTGACTGTGGGTAAGGGTTGCATATATCTGTGAATATACTAAAAACTACTGAACTATACAATTTAAATGGGTGAATTGTATGGTATATGAATTATATCTCAATAAAGCTGTTAAAAAACATTTTAATAAAGTCTGGGGGCCTCTATTTTCATTACAAGACACTCTGTGATGGTATCCCTTCAAGTAATGGTTAAAGAGAATAGGCTTTAGAGCTAGGCAACCAGGATTTAAATTGCTGCTCTGCCATTTGCTGACTGATTAACCTTGTGCAGGTTATTTAACCCCTTTGAGCCTCAGTCTCCTCATCTATAAAATGAAGAAAACAATAGTACTTATTTCTTGGGTTGAAAAGGGGATAACTTTTAGCATAAACACGCGTTGCCGTTGAGTCAATTCTGACTCATAGGCATCCTATAGGACAGAGTAGAACTCTAATAAATCTCTTAAGCAGTGCTTAGTTCAATACATGCTAATTACTGGTTTATTGACACATATTTCATAATGTCTTTGTGGAAATTAAGTTTGCCTAGGGTTCAAAAGAAAACTCCTAATAATGAAATAATTGAAGATGAAATAACTGCTTGGGGCTCTGCTAATAACGCTGGTTTAGAATGATGTCATTAGATTGCCAAGCTTGAATAACTTAGTTGTCATTCTCAGTATTTATTATTGTCCTGGAATTAGCTCTTATGAACTACATTAACTGAATTTTTACTTTAGTTGACATTTCTTTGCTTGAAGAACATAAAGCTTAGATATGATCTAAAGTCTTCCAGTACATGGGATATGGCTACCTGTTTCCCTTCCCAAAAAGTCAGGATCTGGCCTTGCCTTTATAGTTCTCATATTTCTTCAGTTTCCTTTAATCTGGAATACTTCTTCAGCCTTGCTTGTTTTCAAGACATCGATAGTTTTAAAAGAGTATAGCTTAGTTGTTTGTAAAATTTCCCTCAATTTCAGTTTATAGGTTACCTCAGGATTAGATTCAGGTTAAGGATTTTTGGTAGGAATACTATGTAAATGAAGTTGTGCCCTTCTTACTGAATCACATCATGAGGCACACAATGACAACTGTCTCATTATTGGCAATATTTGTCAACTCTGATCACTTAGTTATGGTGGTGTCTGGCCCACTGTAAAGCTACCATTTTTCCTTTTGTGATCAGTAAGAAATCTGTGGAGACATATCCCGAGGCTGTGTAAATAAACTTTCCCTCATCAAACTGTCACCCACTGGATTTAACATTCATTGATGATTCTTGAGAAAACAATGATCACAACGATGGTTGCAAAACCGTGATTTTTTTCTAACTCTGTTGTTCCTTCTATACTGCATTTATTACTTGGCATTCTATTGGAAGGGAGAAATTTCCCTTCTTTCCCTGTATTACGTTTGGTGTAGGGGAAGAACATAACAAAGTCTAGTAACGCAAAAAGGAAGTTTCATTTGGCACATATTCAAGAAGGCAAAAGTGAGAAACGGACAACCATGCTGCCAGAGCAATGTCTGCTCCAGTCCAAGGAAATATCACAGAACAGACAAGTGGGACAACAGACAAGCATGCTGCTAGAGACATTTCTGTCCAAGTCCAAAAACTATTACAGAATAGGTAAGAATGGGAAAACGGACAAGCATGCTGCCACAGCCATGTCTGCCCGAGTCCGAAGAATATCACAGAATAGGCAAGAATGGGAAAACGGACAAGCATGCTGCCACAGCCATGTCTGCCCGAGTCCGAAGAATATCACAGAATAGGCAAGAATGGGAAAACGGACAAGCATGCTGCCACAGCCATGTCTGCCCGAGTCCAAAGAATATCACAGAATAGGCAAGAATGGGAAAACGGACAAGCATGCTGCCACAGCCATGTCTGCCCGAGTCCAAAGACCATTACAGAATCCTCAGTATATGTTAACATTACGAATGGGCAAAACCATTGAAAGCTTAGCCTTTTCAGATTGGCTAGAAACTGTGATTCTACATTTTGAATTGTCTTTCTTAACAGTCATTGGTACAGGTTTCAGTAACAACAGTCAGGAGGGTCTTCATTGGCCCAACAAATTTCTGTTCACTAAATGCTAATAGAAAAATAGTAGAAAGTCTTTTGTGTTCTGTTTGATTGGCTTTATGTGAAAGTTTCCTTAAAAGATATTTTCCAAGATTATCTTAGCTATTGTCTTTATACCTCAGGGCCCAGCTGATATGTCCTTGTGAGTCCTTGTGAACCCAGCTCCAGCTGGGTCACATTCTCTATGCTCAAGGAGAGGGAATAAATGATTCTAATATTATTTCCTAAGTCACGTTTTAATCAGGAAAAAAAAAAAAAAAAAAAACTCTTAAAAAAATGAACTGGATCCCATTCTACCTGGAGTGTGGTGGATTCCCGTTTCTTTTTAGTGTGCTTGGTCTGGCTTGTCTGTGAACCGAACCTTCGTTCCGCTGCTCATGGGCTTAGCCTTCTGCTCAGATGACATATAGGGGCGATGGGCACAGGACTGTGGCCCATCACCACACAGATTCAAAGCCGCACTTAACTACCTTCCTGAGCAGTTGTGAGTTCCAGATCTTCCAAAAGAACACCCCAGTCTCTACAGCTTGGGAGGAAAATGCTCTATTTGTCTTCTTTATCTTTGTTTCACTGGTGAATCACAGAAACCCCTATTCAGATTCAACCTGTTGTTTCAATGTTTCTTCATCTTAAGTGCTTAACAATCACCTAAAAAAGGGAGGGGGTGAAAGAGTGTTGTTTAAAATGTGAATTCCGGGGTCCCGCCCCCCGAGATTCTCATTTGATTTGGGTTAGGGCCAGAATCAGCACTCCAGATGGTCTGCAGATCAAATTTTGAAAAGCATCAACCAAAATAGAGGATAAACTACCCTTTCTGGAAGAGTCGGTGCCACTTGGCAACTCCCAGCGCGCTCGCTCAGGAAAAGCCGGGCGAAACAAGACAGGGCGTTCTCCCTTCCTCGTCCCACAGGCCTTCAGAAACCACCCTTGCCTAGATCCCATACGCAAGCGCTGGGTGAAGGCAGAGGCGAGCAAATCCTCCCAGCTCTTCGCCCTCGCTTGGGGCAAAGTCGCGGGCCAAGGCCAGCCCCGCAGGCCGGCTCTTTAGCTCGTGGGGCAGGGGGGCGGCCCGCTCTTCCTCCTTCCGTCTTGCCGCGCCCCGGCTGCGAGTCCCGACCCCTGCCCCCAGCCAGATGCTTAGTCACGGTGAGGGTGCGTTCGTCAGGGGCCCGCGCCCCCTCTTCCCCGGGCACCGCCCCCGGCCGCCGACCGCGCGCCACTTCCGCGCGCATGGCCTTGCTGCCTAGGCTGAGCGCGACCGTGGGGCCGAACTGGCGGCGGCCGGCGCGCACCTCTCTCGGCTTCCTGCTGCGGCGCCCCGGGCTCGCGGCCTTCCTGCGCGCCTTCTCCCGCGCCATGGCGAGCAAGCAGGAGCCGCAGGCTCAGTGCCCGTCGCCCGCCGCTGGCGCCGTGACCTCTTACGACTACCTGGTGATCGGGGGCGGCTCGGGCGGGCTGGCCAGCGCGCGCCGGGCGGCGGAGCTGGGCGCCAGGGCCGCTGTCGTGGAGAGCCACAAACTGGGCGGCACTTGTGTGAGTACCAGGTCCCACCGAGCGCTTCTTCCACCTCTGTTGCTGCAGCCCTGCGTCCTGCAGCCTCGTTTTCTCTTCGCTTAGCCCGGGCTCTTTGCTAATGCGATCCCGTAGATCCAGGCCCGGACGGTGGGCTTCCAGCGCTGCTGTTTCCGACCTGCATCTGAGGATTAGCCCCTCTTGGGTCGGGACCCCACCACGTTCAGATGGCACACGTGTAAAGGGGCTTTCCTGCGGCCTCCAAAGCTAAACCTTCGTCGGGAAGAGAGTTGTGTGTTCACAGCTCTGAACCCATTAAAGACAGCCGTAGGTTATTAGGTCTAACATAACTTCCTTGCATCCTCACTCCTCAAGGTGGGAGAATAACGATTGCATTTCAGGCTTGATCTTGTTAGTAGATCCACGAAACCACAAAACTGCGTTTGGAAAATTGCAGCTGGGCTGTGTTTCGCGGAGGTGGGGTGGTGGTGGTGGTACCTGTACTCGGAATGCGGTTCCCGCTCCTCTCTTCAGTTTCAAGGGCAGTTGATTTATGCACTGGATGTCAACCTTGGCTGCACATTAGATCACCCGAGGAGTTTGAAAAAATTCTCCTGCCTGGGTCCTGCTCCCAGGGCGTCTGATTTAATGGGTGATTCTTGGGGATTTTTAGAGGTTCCGCAGGTGATTCTGAATACAGGTTACTCTGAGGAACGATTTACTATTAAACGAGTTCTCAGACCTTTTGCCTTGTTTTGGGGTGGATTTGAAAACTATTTTTAAAAAAAGTTGCAAATCCCAAAACAGGGAAACTATTCACGATTTTTTTAAATAAGTTTTGTTCCCAAGTTATTGGTGTGGCTTTTTAAATCACAAGTCTTGGGCAGGTACTTGCTGTTGAATATTAAAATACTATATCCAAGAGTAACCTGGGATTGGGCATGGGTTCCCTGAATGGCTTCAGAGACTGATGTGTGGGAACTCCTGAAGGGCAGGGATGGGTTTCTTATGTTCGTTTACCTCTTATCACCTTAACAAAATACCTTGCTCTGTAACCATTTGTGAAATGAATCAAACTCAAAGTTAACAACTAGGAAAGGGCTGACTCCATTGTCCAGTGCTCATTTTTCACATGCAAGATGAAAGTGGGAATATGGAGAAAGGAAAAATCCCTATTATCAGTTTGGACTTTGACACTTTAATCCGGAAGATTAGATTAGGAGAATTCAGGTTGAGGGGTACCATTGAGAGACCCCTCAGGGCAACTGGGGAGAGCACTTGATTACTTCTCTCCCCGTGCCTCTGTTTGTTACTTTGTTCTCCTCCTTCCCTGTTTATGTCATGACCTGCCTGTGGCATCTGCTTTCATTGCCTGGTTCCACTGGTATTAATCAAGAGGGCCTGATTTCTTGAGCGTTGTGCTCTTTTAAAGAATTATCTCCATGGGATCAAATTGACAACAGCGCCTCCGAAGGTTAGATGAGAAGCTTCGAGGGCAGTGAGTTTGTGTTAATGATAGTGAAATAGTTTAGAAAAGGATATCGTGAAAGGTAGCACAACTTGAGTGTTACCAGTGGTACTGAATAGTACGTGTAGAAATGGTTGATGTGGTGTGTGTTGTGTATAATTTTGACCAAAAATAAAAGAGGGGCTGACCCTTTTTTGGACTCCTGTTAATGAATGTGAGCACACTGAGAGATAAATTACTTCCCAAATGAGCAAAGGGCTGCTGCTTTACAGAGTACAGTGCCTGGCCTTGTTCATCTCGTTATGTTAAAGCAACTTTTATTTCCACCTATGCATTGACATCTTTGGGGAATCCCCTGTTTAAAATTTTATATTACATTTCATTAGGGCTGCTCTAAAACTAGCTTTTGGTTTGAATTACAAGGAAGGCTGTAGGTATAGGCTGAGTATTGGAGAGAGAGAATTAATTGATAAGACATGTGCAGTGCAATGAATTAATTAATGTGGCCCTTCTAGCCATGCATGATCTGGTAACTCCCATAAAATGATTCGGTAGGACTATGCACATTAGGTGCTTATGGCCCACCCAAGGGTACTGGACAGCCAGCTAATGATGCAAATAAGGTGCATGGAACCCTTGTCGGATTGGGACCATACAAATAAGGTATATGGAACGCTAACAAGGGGATTAGTCAGTTTTGCCATCCTGCTGGGCTTAAAAGTAGCCAATTCCAGAAATGGAGAGGGGGACCTCACTCCCATCAAGAAGAGGAACCAGGAGCAGAGCACATCCTTTGGACCCAGGGCCCCTGCACTGAGAACCTAGACCCAGGAGACAGCTGTAACCATTGAAGATGGCACAAGATGGCAGAGGCATGGGACAGGCTGATGGCTGCAGTGGGCTTGCTGACCCAGGGAGCAGGAGAGCTAAGTGCCTTTGGGCAGGAGGCTTGCTGGTGGAGTGGGGTGCCTGCAGGCACTTGTCTGCAGAGCTAAAGAACTTTGTAACCCTTGGCCTGAGCAGGGCAGAGGGCAGGCCGAGGGCCAAGAGGCCTGCCTGTGGGCAAGGCCAAGAAGAAGCTGTCGTGATGGAAGAACTGTATCTTGACTTGTTCCTGTTATTTCCAAGTTGATCCTGATCTTGAATTGTAGCCTGTTACTTCCCTAATAAACCCCGTTACTATGACTATGGTCTGTGAGTTCTATGTGACTACTGCAATGAATTACTGAACCTAGCAGAGAAGTAGACAGTGCCTTGGGCGGGACGGCTCGTGTCAGAATTGGTAAAAAAAAAAAAAAAAAAAAAGGTTGGAGGGTGGAGGTATGTCTGACCTCCACCTCATAGGAATCAGCCTTGGGCTGATGTTGATATTGATTCTCCTCCCTATTTGTGAAGTTAGAAGACCTCTGACGCCATGCTGCCATTTTTATAACATGAGTTTAGATTGTCCAAGGATTCTAGTAATGTGGGCTATCCATAGTTGCAGTCATAATGTGCAATGATTTCTAAGCAAGATGTAGGGAAGATAAAGGCTTTCTGAAGCACATTATTTCATTTCTTCATGTATTCGTTTTTTGTATCCTACTGGGTGCTAAGTGCAGGCAGAGGCAAGGGTAGAGGTCCCTTTCCTCAACAAATTTACAATCTAGGATAGGGGAAATAAAATGACAACCCCAAAGTGGAGTGGTCTATCTTCATTGCCCTAGGCAATAACAAATTACGGGAGTTCAAATTACAGGGTTGGAATTATCCTTCTGCCTGAGCACTATGGGAAGTAGGAAGGAGATAGTATGTTTCTGAACCTTGAGAGATGAGTATCATTTTTTGACAGGGTAGAGTTAATGGGAAGGAGCCCTGGTGACACAGTGCTGAAGCCCTTGGCCGCTAACTGAAAAGTTGGCGGTTTCAACCCACCAGTGGCCAAGTTCCTTTGGAGAAAAGCCCTGGTGATCTGTTCCCATAAAGATTACAGCCTAGGAAACCTTATGGGGCAGTTCTACTCTGTCATATAGGGTCACTATGAGTCAGAATTGACTCAGTGGCACACAACAACAATAACAGCGTCAGTGGCAAAGGCGTGTTGTCTTTAGTTGCCTTGGAGTCTGTTCCAGCTCATGGCAACCCCATGTGTACAGAGTGGAACTGCTCCATAAGGTTTTTTTGTTTTGTTATTTATTTTGCTGTTATTTTTACATAAGGTTTTCATGACTGTGACCTTTCAGAGGCAGATCACCAGGTCTGTCTTCCGAGGTGCCTCTGAGTGGGTTCAAACTGCCAACCTTTCAGCTGATAGTGGAGGGCTTAACCATTTGCACCCACCAGGGACTCCTTGGCAAAGCATAGAGGCTGAGTATGTTGTGTAATTTAGTTTGACTGCAGCAGAGGGGTCTCTGATAGAAGTAAGAGATGGGAAGCTGATGGGTAGGTTGTGTGAGAAATGTAGAGTTTCTGGAAGTGTGGTGAGCAGTGGTAGGGTTTTGAGCCAGAAAGTAACACAGTAATAGTGGTTTTGTGGTAAACGGTGCTATTTAGACATGTTCTTTGGAGAGGTCAAATAGAAGTTTCTTTGCGATTAACTCTACAACTAGTTCTTTCCCAACTAAAATATATTAATTCTAAATTAAAGCTTGGTAAATTTTTTAAGTTGTCATGGATGAACTTCCATGGAAAATTCCAATAAGAATCCTCTAACAGTAGCATGTTTTGCTTTTAATTGTTTTATTTTTGTTTGTTCATTTATTAATTTATTCAACAAATATTAATGAATGTCTGCCATGTACCAGGTATTTTTCTACATGCTGGGGTCACAAGAGCAAACAAAGTAGATAAAAATCCCGGTCCTCAGGGAGCTTACATTTTAGTTGTTATCCGTATTTTCTAAATGTTCCCTGAAGTATTTTTGTGACAAATTAAAAAAACAAAAACAAAAACACAAATACAAGTCTTTTTGTTTTGTTTTTAAGCCTTCTTCCCTGAAAGTTTAGACTCTTAGAGTAATAGAGCTGGAAGTGATTTTGAAACTCCACTAATCCAGTGGTTCTCAGTCAGATTACACTACCCAGTTTTTCGAAACATGGGGAACTGATACAAGGGAGCAACTTTTTATTTTTTTTCAAACTAACGGTTGTTAAAAGACTACTTTCATGTACTATCACTATCATTTTTTTCAAGAATGATAATAAAAAGTAGGAAGCTAAAATTTCAAATAAAGGACGGTCCTTCAAATGGAATACTTCTGGCTTTATGAAACACTCACTACATGGTCCCCATTGTTTTCATGTCATTGAGGACTGGACTTGTCATGGATTGAATTGTGTCCCCCCAAAATGTGTGTCAACTTAGCTAGACCATGATTCCCAGTATTATGTACTTGTCCACCATTTTGTCATCTGCTGTGATTTTTCTATGTGTTGTAAATCCAACCTCTATGACAATGAGACGGGACTCAAATCTACAAGATTAGGTTGTTTTAAATCAATCCCTTTGAGATATAAAAGAGAGAAGCAAGCAGGGGTAGGGGGAGCCCTCATACCACCAAGAAAGTAGTGCCATGAGCAGAGTGCGTCCTTTGGTCCCTGGGTTCCTGTGCAGAGAAGCTCCTAGTCCAGGAGAAGACTGATGACAAGGACCTTCCTCCAGAGCCGACAGAGAGAGAAAGCCTTCCCCTGGAGCTGTTGCCCTGAATTTGGAATTGTATCTACTAGACTGAGAGAGAATAAATTTCTGTTTGTTAAAGCCATCCACTTGTGGGATTTCTGTTATAGCAGCACTGGATAACTAAGACAGACATGTTATCAGGAGGGACCAGTCCCTGGAGAAGGACATTATGCTTGGTAAGTAGAGGGTCAGTGAAAAAGAGGAAGAGACCCTCAACAAGATGGATTGACACAGTGGCTGCAACAGTGGGCTCAAACATAGCAATGATCGTGAGGATGGACAGGACCTGGCAGTGTTTCATTCTGTTGTACGTATGAGTTGGAACCGACTCTGGCACGTACTAACAACCACCTCAGGAGGCTTTTTTTTTTTTCCCTGATGTGATATAATGGAGTAGCCCCCTCCCTAGAGGATAACGTATTTTCAATATGTAGCATGACCTGAGTGTTCACTTTTCTTTGATAGAATTTATTATTTTAAGACATTTGAGGGAAAAAAGGGGTAAGAATCTCAGGTGTGAGATAATGTTGCCCCCATATTGTGAAGTGAAAGAAGCAGCAGGGGCGAGAACTACTAGTAAACAAATGAAGAAACCACAGGAAGAGGCAAGTGTAGGCCTAATGGCCTGAATTCCACTCTTAAATTAGTCATTATTTTTCTGGATCTGACAAAAAATTTTAATAGTATTGGGTTAAACAAGAGGAACAGGAAACTGAGAGAAACTATAGGTCAGTTAAAGGTAGGTAATTCCTTGCTGCCTACTGAGATTAAGTCATTTTTGAGGGAGAAAAATAGATGAGATCTTTAAAATTCAGCTTTTGCAATCTGATCAAATGTAGACCAAGGAGAAGCACAGATTGCCCAGAGCCAATGTGAATCAGTCTACTGGGAGCTTTGTCTTTTTGGTTCAGTTCTCACTAAGCAGAGGATGGAAGAGTTGGCTTGAGGAGAAGTGCTTTCTGATTTACTCCTCCCTTTGCCCCAGGGCCTGTGGGAGCACTTGTTCCAGTTGTGTTCTTGCTGAGTATTACTGATTGCCTGCTAAACAGGAACCATTTTCTTGTGGGATTGGTATGTAGGTCTCACCAATGAGGGTTAAGGAGGTAGGGTTGATCACAGACCGAAGCCGCCTTTTTTTTCTTTTTCTTTTTTTCATTGTGCTTTAAGTGAAAGTTTACAATTCAAGTCAGTTTCTCATACAAAAATTTATACACACATGCTCTGTGACCCTAGGTGCTCTCCATATACTGTGACAGCACACTCCTTTTTACCCAGAATTTCCCGTCTATTCCACCAGCTCCTGACTCTGCCTTCTCATCTTGCCCCTGGACAGGAGGTGCCCATTTAGTCTCATGTATCTACTTGGGCTAAGAAGAACACTCCTCACAAGTATCACTTTATGTGCCATAGTCTAGTCTAGTAGAGAAAAGCCTTCTTGATTACTGACGTCACTGTGGCCTGTGCCAATTAAGCATGAATGAACATACTGATTTTCTTAAATCATACACGCAGTTGATGATTCCTTGTTCAAGTATAACTTCATTGTAGTGGCCCGGACACATCACTCACCTGGCACCTCCAGTCAGTATTTAAAGGTTAAAGAATAGTTGGCATATACATTAGATGGAAAGTTAAGGAGTCTGAATTTGCCTTTGAAAAAAGTGAGCTCAATCTAGTTTTCCTTCTGTAGCCAACTCTTCTGCTAGGATACCCTTCAAGGCAGTTTTAATCAGAGTCTTAACTAACCCAGTTTTTTTTTTTTTTTTTTTTTTGGTTAGAAGTTTTAGGAAGTGTTCAACAGGGAATAAACAGATGTGCACCGACATATGTGTATAAGAATGTACATTGCAGTTTGGGAGGATTTTCTCCCTAGCCTTACCAGTATGAACAGTTATTTTCTTAAGCAACTGCTTAGTTTTTACTTGTTGAAATCTTAATCAGTATTTGTGTTCTCTTTTTTGTATTGGCTGCTAGAAAGCCGAGGGTCAGATTGGTGGTCTATCTCTGGCAAGTACGTAAGACCTCATAGCATGGGTGAACCTCACTGTTGGTTTCATCTTCCTTTGGCCCTCAAGAGTAATGTATGTCTCCACTAGAGGCTTTCTCAAAGGAGCCACCCTAGGTGTTCATCCAGAATATTCCATTGTGAGTTTCCCAGAAATCCTGTAAGACAGCTACTCACATGGTCCTCTTGCCCTTTTCTACTTGGTGGGTCCTCTTACCTCTATGCTGCTCTTCTCTTCTGCTCCCTCCCCCTGGGCCCTGTGTAACTCAGGCCTCTCTTGCCTCCTGATCTCTGGCCTTTCCCGCTGTGCACAGCTCCTTAGAAATGGAATTGTTCTCTCTCTCTGTCCACTCTGGAAAAAAATATTGATGAATAAAATTCTGTATCTCATCCTATAAGGAAAAAAAAAGGTTCTTATCTATATCCCTGGAGCCCTGGTAGTGCAGTGGCTAAGAGCTCAGCTGCTAACCAAAAGGTCAGCAGTTCAAATCCACCAGCTGCTCCTTGGAAACCCTTTGGGGCAGTTCTACTCTGTCCTGTACGGTCGCTATGAGTCAGAATCGACTCGATGGCAACGGGTTACCTTTTCCAGGTCTAGAATAGGGAAAAGGAAATAACTGTAGAATGTACTCCATTATGACTTAGAACTCAAGGAGGTTCCCTGGTTTGATGCTTGGGGTTCATTTCTTACAGGTTTGTTTGATGGTTTTAGTTTAACGTTCTTAAAATATGTCTCTTTTTTCCCCCTAGGTGAATGTCGGATGTGTACCCAAAAAGGTAGAATTTTATTTTTATCCACCTCCACACTCCTCTTTCATATTTGGTAAATCATGATCAGAATAAGGATGTTTCCATATGTGATTCTTTCTACAAAAATTAACTGAGAAGAACCCAACTAAAAATGGGTTAAACAAGGGGATGGTTTTGTTTACTGGTATTTTTTCATATCGCTTATTAAGAAACCTGTAGAGAGGCAGTTCCTGAGATTGGCTCAACACTTAAGAATATCTGAAAGGACTCTGGCTTTTCCTCATCTTTCCACTCTGCCACCTTAGGTCTGTAATCGACAGAAACCTCCCTCATAGCCAAGGAAGGTTCCAGGAGCTCCAGGCAGGGTGTTCTCACCCACCGGTGTCCCTGCAGATTGCTTTAGGTCCTCCTGGCCAGGGTTGAGCTACCCCTACAGGGAAGGGGTGGGTGCTGGGGAGATAACCACAGAAATATGAGCTTCCGGACACTAGCTGCGTCAGGCATGCAAAAGAGGTTCATCTGAACATTCACTACGTGTTCTCCTGGTGATAGACTGAGTTGCTGTAGTGGGTTCAGTGGAGGCAGTAACCAGGGATGGAACACAGTCTCTGGTCTCAAACTTCTGATGGTCTAGAAGGAACAAAGATCGACAAGACATCTGTAGTCAAGGCATAAAAGAAGAGTGCTGTCCGTGTGCACGGGATCACTTTTTCTTAAGACAGCAGTCCAGTCACAAAATAAAGTTAATACATAGCTATCAGTCCAAGTGGCGCAGTGGTTAAGAGCTCGGCTGCTAACCAGAAGTTTGGCAGTTCGAATCCATCAACTGCTCCTTGGAAATCCTATGGGGCAGTTCTGCTCTGTCCTGTGGGGTCACTATGAGCCAAAATCAACTCAAGGGCAGCGGGTTTGGTTTTTGGTATCAGTCCAGGTGCTGATGTGACCAAGACACTAAGTGGTTGACCACGGCAGAAGGGCGCTCCTCCCACACCAGGCTCTGCTTTGTGACTCCCCAGAATCCTGCGGTAACTCTGGTCTCTCACCTGCTCCTGAGCATCAGTTTTTTCCAGGAAGACTAGTAGAGCTGTTTTTCTCCTGGCAAGATGTGTCAAGATCGTTGTGGGTTTTTTGTTTGTTTTATTAGTGGTCATTTTTGTTTTTAAACACAGAAATGTTTTTCCCTATAAATTAAGCATGTATCACGTGACTTTGGGTGTCTCATACCATTCTAAGATTGTATTTCTCAAGTTGTTTGAATGACATTTATCAGTTCATTGTATCAATACCTTTGTGGTGAGTTGTCTGTTGCTAGAATTGTTATGTACTTGGGTCCTAGTCCCCATCTTTGCTGTTCCAGAAATTCAGATTTATTGCTTCTCTCAGGAGTATCAGACAGACTAGTGAAATGATTATCTAACATCGCAAAGAATTGCCTTATTTTTAAAAATGATACATTAATTTATTAGTTTAGAGTGAATGAGATTATATCTGGGCCTAGTCATTAGGACTGGTCATCAGCACAGGATAACTTTTTCTCAATAAGGAGCTCCAGCCAGCAAACCGGATTATTGATTAAGTTCTGTAGCCTTATGAATTCTTTTTACCACTCTAGTGATTTTTGGTTCTAATACCTGTTGCACAGGTCACATTGAATGAACTCATTCTTTACCCTGACAAGGAAGAACTGACAACTCTTATTTCCAAAGCTGCTTCTTGCTTATACTTGCAAATAATTTTGTTCCTCATTTGAATGTATTTTTAAAACATGTTATAATCCCAAGTTTACAACCTTTCATAACCAAGATTACGTTTTAAATTGGCAGCTTTCTATTATCTAATATTGTAGTCTTATCAGTGATGCACACCTGAGTTTAACTTCACAAAGGTTTCCTGTAATCTGTTCCTTAGTAAAGGTAGATTTTTTCTAACTTAGGAAATTTCTTTTTTCCTTTAGGACATTTTTCTGAATTGTTTTCTTTCCTTTTGTTCCTAGATTTCAGAATCTATTCTATTTGAAGACATACAAATATATAAATTATGTAGATTAATTATAACATGGTTTTATAATTAAACCAGTAAGATACTAAATTCAGTGTTAATTGGTACTGTCTTAGAGCCTCATTATTTTAAAATATTGAGGTAATACTGACCGGTAGCCTTAATTTGTCATATTCTCTTCCCATAGTGTTTCACTCTTTCCTTCTGTTCTGATCGCATGTTGTAGACACTTAACATTTTGATAGGGCTCTACTGATTTCAAAGGAGCCCTGGTGGCGCAGTGGTTAAGTGCCGGCTGCTAACTGAAAGGTCAGTGGATCAAACCCACCAGTGGCTCCTCAGGAGAAAAGACCTGGCGATGTGCTCCTACAAAGTTTACAGCCTAGGAAGCTATCTGGGGCAGTTCTGCTCTGTCACACAGGGTCTCTATGAGTCAGAATCAACTCAGTGCACACACATACACACACACATGATTTCAAAGTGCTTTTGCATTCTGAAGATCAGTTCGTAGCTGCCTTTTATTTTGTAAAACAGAATGAAGCCCAAGAGTAACTCCCCCTTCAAGAAGGGTAGAGTGAAGCGGCAGCAGAGAAGGAACCAGAACAATGGGTCCGCTGGCCCTACCAGATCGATTAGATCTGAACTGAAAACCTAACTTAGTTCATGTAGAGCCATCCTCTCCAGAGGGTGTTTGATGCTGTGGTATCACACATAATACAAATTGGAAGTAAATAAATATGACATCTCATAATGATATAAGCGATGTTATTAAAATAGCATAATTTATTTGTGCTGTTAGTAAATCTTTCACATGCATTTAAGATGAATCTAGCAGAGTCATCAATTTACTCATCTTTAGGCATAAAGGGAGAAGGCACAAAGAAGGACTGTAAGGCTCATCAAAAGAGGAATCTAAGGCTTGTCTGACAAAGGAAATAGCAGTTTGTCCTCTAGAGTTATGGATGCCAGTTTGAATTCAGCTACCATGATGATCAGTTGGGATAAAAAACATGCTTTGAACCTCTGAGTTCCAGATGTCTAATTACATACATCCGTACGAGAACATGTTCAGAGTTACTGAATACATAATAAAATAAAGAAAACCAAACCCTCATCAAATCCATTCCGACTCCTAGTGACCCTATAGGACAGAGTAGGACTGCCCCATAGTGTTTCCAAGGAACGGCCGGTGGATTCCAACTGCCGACCTTTTGGTTAGCAGCCGAGCTCTTAACCATTGTGCCACCAGGGCTCCAGATACATAATAGGAATTCATTATTTTAAAGTTTTTGGTCCTCAACTGTATCTGAAGGATGTCTTCAAGCAAGTTTACTGTAAAGTTACAAGTGTAACTCCCATTACCTGGGACTGAATCAAAGAGGGCAGGGCTTAAACCTAAAACTTAAAAAAAAAGCAGTGTAAGTAATAATAAATTTTAAAGAAAGGAATATGAGGCTTATTGTGTTTTTGTGTTTATAAACCATGTAATTAAACAGTAGAAATAATTTTCCCCAGTATTTCAAAAGCCCCACTATAAAATCTTATCTGGTCATATTTCTGAACTTTTAAAAAATGTTTAGTTTTGTTTTTAATTTAAAGGTGATTATTTTTATTTGCTATTATATAGTTATCACTTCATTCATGATTTCTGTCTTCCCTCAAAACTCATACACTACTGTTTTGGGTACATTTTTACAGGTAATGTGGAACACGGCTGTCCACTCTGAATTTATGCATGATCGTGTCGATTATGGCTTTGAAAGTTGTGAGAATAAATTCAATTGGAGGTAAGTGTTAAATGCTCCGAGGGTTTGATTTGCAAATTTTGTTTGTTAGGTTTTTTTTTTTTTTAACTTTCATAACTAAGTGAGCCATAATTTTTTGGGAGCCATCAAATTATCCAAAATTTTTAGCGAATTCATTTATTTATTCAACAAATATTTGAGTACCCACGATGTGCTAGTCACTGTGCCAGAGCAGCTCACACGCAGAAAGAAGTTTATGTACCATGGATGCCAGTTGAATATTCTCCACGGGGTGGAATAAGGGCTTCTACATATGGGAAAGCAGATGGACGCAAGGGAAGAGACGAATGTCTTCAGAGACGTTCACCCAGTGGGGTTCTTGTTGGCGGTCTGTGATTCTCTGCTGAGGGGTATTCAAGGACAGATGCCTTACTGAGTAAAACAGGAAAATCCTGTTTCTCAGTAATGACTCAGGTTTCGTTGCAGTGTTATAAAAGAAAAACGGGATGCCTACGTGAGCCGTCTGAATACCATCTATCAAAACAATCTAACCAAGGTTTGTAAGCTGGGTTTTAAACTTTGAAAAGGAGCTCCTTGTCCCTGGAGCGAGCTACCAAGTCTGGCCAGACTAGAATGTGTAGCCTTTGGATACGTCTCTTATTGTGTCTGTTGTTTCTCTTGCTGTTAATGATTGTGAAGTTAACTTGTCAGAGCAGAAGCCGCTGTCTTGGTGGGCTTCTTCTCTATGGAGAGTGGATCGTGTGTCAGAGTTGCTTGACTGGGTCTTATCTGATGGCTGCATTTTCGTACTAGTTTGCCAGCTCATAGGAGTCCTGGTGGCGCAGTGGTTAAGTGCTTGACTGCTAACCGCAAGGTTGGTGGTTCGAAGCTACTAGCCATTCCGTGAGAGAAAGATATGGCAGTCTGCTTCTGTAAAGGCAGTTCTAATCTGTCCTTAGGGTCACTGTGAGTCAGAAATGACTTGACCGCAGTGGGTTTGGTTTGGTTTTGGATGTAAGTTTATTAATTAAAATTAGGAGCGCTGTCTGGCTGAAAACGTGGCATTGTTCATTTGCTCAGAGCACCCTCATCCTTGATGGCTGGATCTGCTCAGGAGACCACATTATGGTTCAGAAGATTTTATGAATGAAATCTGATTTAAAAAAACTGGGGCAAATGTGTGTTTGCCTGCAGCCCATGTACGTTGTCCTTCACTGTCCTGAGGCTTTTTCTGCCTTAGTCCTTACATGTCATACCTCTTCTGCATGGACTACGCTAGAGACATCGACAAATTGTGTATCATCCAGCTCTCTTTTCCCTTGACTGCATACGTCCCATCACATTTCACTTGCTTTTTTGGTCTCACTCTGCAATTTCTAAGATTTCAACATAGCTTAAGTCATGTTTAGATCAGTAGATACTTTGGGCCATCATAATCTCATTAGAAGCATGTGTATAAAACATTTTTTAGGGTGTTACTTCTACAGATGGTTAATCTTATATATCTCTGTATTGATTGTTATCATTCATTGGGTTTATTTTTTGAAGGGTGATGTTTTCTGACCTTACTCCCCAATTTGAGGGCCTAAAGTCCCCTGTGCACCGACTGTAAGAGATTTTAAGGCTGCCAGACATGAGCCTTAAGATACCAATTACTGTACTAAAACATCCATACCAAAACCAAACCCATAGCCATCGAGTCAATTCTGACTCATAGCAACCCTACAGGACGCAGTAGAAGTACCCCATAGGGTTTCCAAGGAGCGGTTGATGGATTCAAACTGCTGACCTTTCCGTTTGCAGCCAGGCTCTTAACCACTGCACCACCAGAGCTCCAAAACATCCAAACCAAACTTAAAAAATAAAAAGAATAAACTAAAATACTTCTGTCAGAGGACAGAAAAATTACGGAAAAGACAGGATTTGTTAATATTCACAAATCTTACTGTGTAGTAGAGCTTACCTATGGCCTTTTTCTTTCTAACATTTATAATATGGGGAAGGAGTTACTTAAAGTTGACCCAAGAATTCTGCACAGAAGAGGAAACCTGTCTAATATCCTGAGGAATGAAAATGGATATCTGATCATTTCCTCCTCCAAACTATTGTCTATATTATTGTTTCTCTACCCACCCCCTTTTTGTATAGCACCCTAAGGAAATCATTATGTAGAGGCTGTTGAGCTTTGATGTTGATTTTGATTCAGCTTGATTAAGCCTGGCACCTGCAGAACCAGGCCTAGATTATGGTAGTTGGAAAGGAGGATATATTTGGAAACAGGCACATTCCAGAATTTTAAAACATTCCATTCTATGGTCATGCTTGCATGGTCCCATTATCCTTGTAAGGTGCCTGTATCATGGTGGGCAGAAGTATGCCGTCGGTCCCTGTCTTAGTTATCTGGTGCTGCAGTAACAAATACCACAAGTGGGTGGCTTTAACAAAGAGAAATTTATTCTCTCACAGTTTAGGAGGCTAGAAGTCTAAATTCAGGGTGCCAGCTCCAGGGGAAGGCTTTCTGTCTGTGTCAGCTCTGGGGAAGGTCCTTGTCATCAATCTTTCCCTGGTCTAGGAGCTTCTCACCACAGGGACTCCAGGTCCAAAGGACACGCTCCACTCCCTCCTCCTCTTTCTTGATGGTAGGAGGTCCCTCCTCTCTCTGCTCAATTCTTTTATATCTCAAAAGAGATTGACTCAAGATACAACCTAATTCTGTAGATTGAGTCTTGCCTCATTAACATCATAGAGGTTAGGATTTACAACACATAGATAATCACATCAGATCAGAAAATGGTGGGAATCATGGCCTAGCCTAGTTGATACACATTTTTGGGAGACACAGTTCAACCCATAGCAGCCCCCAAATCAAGGCCCTGGTGCAGAGGATGCTGGCAAGAGCAAATCAGAGTTTGGGTTCTCAACATTTCTGGCACAGAACTTCACTGTCATGTAATTTTGTGTTATTGTTCCCATTTTGCTCAAGAACACAGAAGCATTGCATTTTCCTCTCTTGGCCAGAGTCTGTATTTCTCTCTTGCCTGTACTCCCTTCGCTGTTGTCTTCATGCCTTTCTCAGCATTCTGCCCATCCTCTAGACCCATCAGTTTATTTTCATTGAGAGTAAGGTAGAGTTTGTCCTCAACTCTTGGGGACTAAGATGCAGTCTTCTTCCTTGTGGGGATGATCTACGTATATTTTTTGGTCTCTTAGTTTTGGCCCAGCAGAACACCATGATTTGTTTTTACTGTACACTTCAGCATCAAATGGCAACCCCCTTACCTAGGTATTAAGTACTAGGAGTTCTGCAGAAGTCTGGAAAAACGGAGCGTTGTCTTGGCCATCAGCTAACCAAAAATCAAAATCCTCAGTAGAGAAATAGAAAGAGCTGATAAGTTGCAGCAGGTGTTTTTATTTTAAGAACAAGGTAATCTTTCTGTGGTTCCTTCTCCAGTCCCATATAGATATCATCCATGGCTTTGCAGTATTCACATGTGATCCCACGCCCACGGTCGAGGTCAATGGGAAAAAATACACAGCTCCTCACATCCTGATCGCCACAGGCGGTGTGCCCTCACGTCCTCCTGAGAGCCAGATCCCCGGTGAGTCTTCCAAAGGCAAATACTTGCTGATAAGTCAGGAGGGTTTACCGTTTTAATAACTGATGAGCTGTAGGTGGAGGGGGAGCCTGATGGCGCAGTGATTAAGAGCTCGGCTTCTAACCAAACGGTTGGCAGTTCGAATCTACCAGCCGCTTCTTGGAAACCCTATAGGGCAGTTCTTCTCTGTCTTGTAGGGTTGCTATGTGTCGGAACTGACTTGATGGCAGCGGGTTATAGGAAGAGGGGTGTGAAACAAGGAATCACAGATTGATAGCTCTAGGCTTTGAGCCTGGAATATTGGGGAATGGTGATCCCTTTAACTGAAGTGGTAAACTTGTTGGGGGGATGGTTCTGGACATAAAATTAAGGTTCAATTCTAAATATATTAAGTTTGAAGCAAAGTAGAATTGTGTAGCAGACCAGTTAGAAGTATACAACTGGAATCTGGGGAAAAGGTCATAACGGGAACTACGCATTTGGAAGTCCTTCATGTGGAGGTGGGAGTTGTTTGAAACCTTTGAAGAAGAAAGCAGAGAAAAGAGGACCAAGGCTGAGCCGAGGGGCTCCCACCTACATTTGGGGGTGGTTGAGAGGGTGACGCAGGGCCAGCGAAGAGTATTCATGAGAGCTGAGAAGATCTTAGTTCTTTGGAGAAATTACAGAGTTATTTGGTTATCAGTCTCTTATTTCTGGAGAGAAAATAAAAACGTTGACTCAGAGAAGACTTGCTTGGCAGCTTACCAAGTAGACTTCAACAAAACTTGTCAAAACAGGGTATGTTGGCTGAGAAAGTGATTGGCTTTTGCATAAAATGTTGTGATTATTTTACGAGAGAAAGCACTGTCTTGTGTGATCTATGGCATTTTCCTGCATAGGTGCCAGCCTAGGAATAACCAGTGATGGATTTTTTCAACTGGAAGAATTGCCTAGGTAAGCTGGTTTCCTTCCCCTACTTCAATGATTGATTCTTCTTCCATCTCTCCTTCTGACATTTTTTCTACTGCCCCCTCTCAGCTATTAAATGTAGGCGTTTCCTGAATTCTGTCCTCCTCGCTCTTCTCTAAGGAGCCCTGGTGGCTCAGTGATTAAGCACTCAGCTGTTAGCTGAAAGGTGGAAGGTTCGAACTGACTAGCCGCTCTATGGGAGAAAGATGTAGCAGCCTTGGAAACTTATGGGGCAGTTTTACTCCATCCTGTAGGCTCACTGTGAGTCGGAATAGACTCAACAGCATACAACAACAACCTCTTCTTTATTTGGGTATCTCATCCACTGGAACCACTCAGTAGGTGACTCAAATCTTTAATGCTTTTGATCAGAGACCATTGCAAGTTTTAGAATCAGAACCAAATACAGAGTGACTTCAAAAAATAAATGGTAAAGTCCACCAGACAAAATCAGCCTGGGATTCCAAATACGAAAACAAAACCATGTTTTAAAACTGTCTTCTTTCTTCAGCTGGATACAGCATCAATTGATCATGTGTCTAAAATAATGTTGATTCTGGTTTTTAAAGTGGCTAGTGCAGAGGGGTCTCCATAAATGAAGCCTCTGTCAGGGTCACAAAAATACATTTTCTGAAGTTGTTCTTTGTGTTAGAATAGACTGAGTAAACCCCTGTCACGGATTTGGATACACAGAGGGAAAAAAGATAATGAGGAAGATCGTTTCTCGAATTTGAGGCTGCTGCAAACCACAGGCTTTCTAGGTTACAGGGATCCACCCTTCACGGTAAGAGATGACACCTGTGTACAGGAGGCGGGTCCTGCTGGCCTGGAGACTGGCCTGTATCTCCTTACGTGCAGCGCTGTCTCTGGAGTCGAGGTTGCTCAGCTCTGCTGTTCCTTCAGTGTGTGTTGCCAATCTAGTTTGAGGTCTTAATCCTTTGCTTTTACAAAGGCTTTCATGGAGGATGACTATTCATCCACACTTGGATCATCACCTTAATTCACCTGGAGCCACAGACCGTTAACAAGGGGCAAGTGAGGGCTTCTTGGCAATTTCGTAGCTCCTTTGGAATTGTCCCGTTAAGATACTCAGAGCAGGTGGGCTTTTGAGTCAGTCCTCTGACTTTGAAGAGTTTTGAGAAAAACTAGTAGTCTTTTCAGATTTGCTGCCAGGGATGGAAATTTTTGTCAAAGAACAGGCTTCCTTCCTTCGCAATCCACCCTGACTGGTTTGGTTTTAGGGTTGAATGATAGGAATATGTGAAGATGTATCTGGAAATGTGGTCATGACTCATTGTACTTGGGTGATATAATTCAGTCTAGACTCATCCTCCAGGAAGCTTGATTATAAATATCTGCTGATTACATGGAGCCCTGGTGGCATAGTGGTTAAGAGCTTGGCTGCTAACCAAAGGTCAGCAGTTCGAATCCACCAGCCGCTCCTTGGAAACACAATAGGGCAGTTCTGTTCTGACCTGTAGCATCGCTATGAGTCATGATCGACTCACTGGCAGAGTTTGCATTTTTTTTTTGTTTTGTTTTGGTCCATTATATATTTTAAATTCATTTATTAAACTTGTGTTGACATGCACGTTATAAACAAAAGGCTGTGGGAACACAGGAAAATGAGTTGTGATTTTTCCTTTTTAAGATTCCTTTCGAGCTCTGGTGGCGAAGTGGTTAAGAGCTTGGCTGCTAACCAAAAGGTCGGAGTTTGAATCCACCAGTCGCTCTCTGGAAACCCCATGGGGAAGTTCTACTCTGTCCCATAGGGTCGCTATGAGTCGGAATCAACTCTACGCAACAGGTTTGGGGCTTGTTTTTCCATTGTTACAATGTTTATGACTTAGTAAATGATCAGGGAAAGAACAAATTCTGTAGGCAAAGTACCATGTGCTGTGGGCTGTGTAATTCCATTTTTGCCCTCGGAAGTCTAGATAGAGGTTGAACCCTGTGGAATGGCTGTAGCAAAAGTAGTTTTAAGTCCTGTAATGAGGTAGCAGAAGTGCCTGGGGGATTCGGATGAATAAAAGCTCATTCCCAGTGAATACTTTAGTGGTAAGTGGGGAAGAAAGGTGCTGCTGGGAGCTGAGAGAGAAACATTAAGTTCCTTGCAGTTCTCTGAAGAAGCCAAGTTGTTTCATGCCCGTTTCTTGTATGTCCCCTCTGCTTGGACTATATCCCACAGCTCCTGCAAGAACTGACAGCTGACCTCTGGGCCTCAACACTGTTCAGGGCATGTTTCTCCCCTTCAGCGTTCCTCAAGGACAGGGCTCATTACCCATCCCGTCTAGTGCAACACTCAGCACAAAGGAGGATTTAAGTAAAAACATTTAGAGAAAGAAAAGTAAGATGGATAGAGGTGGAAGAAGAAAAGGAGGGGAAGAACCAAAAAAAGGAAAGGAGGTCAGCTTATAATAGGAAAGAGGGAGATAGAAATGGAAGAAGAGCTATTCCAGAGGTTCTGGACTATCTAGAGGAGCCCCGGTGGTGCAGTGGTCTTGTCATACCCTGGGTTGTAGGATACGAGGGCCGTGACTTCTAACTTGTAGCCCTTTGGGTTCATACTTCATCTTCCATTTAGACTATAAACCCTCTGAGGACAGAGATTCACAACACAGGCGCCTTGCCTGTTAAAAAAACCAGTTGCCATCGAGTGGATACCGACTCATGGCGACCCCATGTATGTTGGAAGATTTCCTTTGTTCTCTCCCTGATTGTTCACTTCTTATACAAATACTGTAACAATGGTAAAGGAACATGTTTGAAGCTTTAGAAGGTTCCAGCTACCAATGGGATCGCTTCAGCCGAGGGGCACTTACCCTCCATTACAGCGTGGCAGTAAATGTGTGTACTAGTGCCAGGATCTGAGCTCCTTCACCATTGATTCAAACCTTTGTCCAAGCCTTTATCTAGTTTTTAAGATTCTTTCTTAGACCAAATTCAGGGACTTTAGTTTTACTGCCGACCTATACTACGAACTAAAATGATGTGCTTAAATTGGCCTTTAATCATATTTCCAGGATTAATGGAATTGAATAATGATCAAGTAGAAACACTGAGCAGAGAGGAAAATGATGGTGAGAAATGTGGCTCTGATTATAGTTTTAGGTGAGAGATGGTTGCATACAGAATCATCTCTAGTTTCAAAGATTTTTTTTGGTTTATTTCTCCTTTGAAGAAATGAAGCTAATGGATTTTTAAAGCGGCTAGAAATATAGATTCCCTTCTTCCACAGAGGGGCCCTGGTGGTGTAGTGGTTAACAACAGCACGGCTGCTCACCAGATGGTCGGCAGTTCAAATCCATCAGCCGCTCCTTGGAAACCCTATGGGGCAGTTCTACTCAGTCCTATAGGCGTCCTATGAGTCGGAATTGATTCAATGACAATGGGTTTTTTCCACAAGGGAATATTTTTACTTAAAATTGGATCTTGGAACAGAAAAAGGACATTCATGGAAAACTGGTGAAATCTGAGTAAAGTCTGCGGTTTAGTTAATAGTATTGTACTAAGTGTACCATGATTATGTAAGATGTTAATTTTAGGGAAAATGGGCAGGGGATAGAAGGGAAACCTCTGCACTACCTTTGCAGCTTTTCTGTAGGCCTAGAATTTTTTCAAAATCCAAAGCTTATTTTAAACAGTTCACCCCATGCTCTCGTTGTAGCCGCAGTGTCATCGTTGGCGCGGGTTACATCGCCGTGGAGATAGCCGGCATCCTGTCAGCTCTGGGTTCTAAGACGTCGCTAATGATACGGTACCATAAGGTAAATCCTATCCGTTTCCCTTCCCTTTCCTTGATGGGAGTTTTTTAAACCATTAAATGCTAGGGTGCGAAGCATGTGGAGGTCAGTTGGTCTGCTCCACAGGGGGCTGTGTCCAAGGGATCTGAATTAGGCCTTATAGTCCCTCCTAGCTGCCAACTGCTACTTGATGGCCATGATTTTGATTTGATCAAACTGGCTGGTATTTTCATCATGAAGTGGTAAATAGTCATCGGATCAGATGCCTTAATAAGGAGGCATGCAGGCTTAAATACAAACACTAGTTAAACAGACTGACAGGCTGATTTCTCATTCAGGAAATCAATTTCATATGACCAGGTAGTTAACAGTCAGAAACATTCAATAAAGTCTTTTTTCATTAAAAGGAAACTTAGAGATCGTCTGCTCAAACTGCATTTTATAGATGAAGCAATTAAGACCAAGAGAGGTTTGTGACTGCTGTTTAATGTCAAAACTGGGAGTCAGTTAAGGTCTCAGAAAGCCAGGCCGATAGTCTTTGTGCTAAAATGCAGCCTTCATGTAGAGTCATTCTTGGTAAGTGTTACTTTAATGTGGTTTGTTGATGGATAGTTGTGGCACAACATCAGAGCTTTCGGATATGCTGTGGGGCCGTAACAAAAGTGTTGGTTCAACAGACACTTCACCAAAGAAGACATTCAGGCCATTAACAGACACATGAGGAAATGCTTGTAATCACTAGCCATTAGAGATATGTAAATCAAAACCGCAATGAGATACCATCTCACTCCGGCTTTACTAGCATGAATCAAAAACAGAAAATAACAAATGTTGGAGAGGCTGCGGGGAGATTGGAACTCTTACGCATTGCTGGTGGGAATGCAGAATGGTACAACCATTTTGGAAAAAGATATGGCGCTTCCTTAGAAAGCTAGAAATAGAAATACCATATGATCCAGCAATCCCACTCTCAGGAATGTATCCTAGAGAAATAAGAGCCATCACACGAATAGACACAAGCACACTCGTGTTCGTTGCAGCATTGTTCACAATAGCAAAAGGATGGAAACAACCTAGATGCCCATCAACAGATGAACGGGTAAACAAACTTTGGTACATACGACAGAGTACTATGCAACGAGAAAGAGCAATGATGAATCTGCAAAGCATCTCACAACATGGATGAATCTGGGGGGCATTATGCTGAGTGAAATAAGTCAATCAAAAAAGGACAAATGTTGTATGATACCACTACTGTAAAAACTCATGGAAAGGTTTACACACAAAAAGAAACAATCTTTGATGGTTGCAAGGGAGCTGAATGGTGGGGGTGGAAAAACACTAAATAAACAATAGATAAGTGATAACTTTGGTGAAGGGTTAGACAGTACACAATAATGGGGAAACCAGCACAACTTGTTCAAGGTAAGGTCACAGAAGCTCCAAGGACAAATCAAAACTCCGTTAGGGACTGAATTAACTGGGCTGAGGACTGTGGGGGCCATGATCTCAGGAAACATCTAGCTCAACTGGCGCAACATAGTTTATAAAGAAAATTCCTGCATTCTTCTTTGGTGAGTAGCATCTGGGGTCTTAAACCCTTTGAGCAGCCATCTGAGATATTCCATTGGTCTCACCCCTTCAGGAGCAAGGGAAAATGAAGAAAACTAAAGACAAGGGAAAGATGAGTCCAAAGGACTAATGGACCACAGCTACCACAGCCTCCACTAGACTTGAGTCCAGCACAACGAGATGGTGCCTGGCTACCACCACCGACTGCTCTGACAGGGATCACAACAGAGGGTCCGGACAGAGCTAAAGAAACATGTAGAACAAAATTCTAACTCAAAGACCAGACTTACTGGCCTGACAGAGACTGTAGAAACCCTGGGAGTATGGCCGCCGGACACCCTTTTAGCTCAGTAATGAAGTCACTTCAGAGGTTCACCTTTCAGCCAAAGATTAGACAGATCCATAGGACAAAATGTGACTAAAGGGGCACACAAGCCCAGGGGCAAGACTAGAAGGCAGAAGGGGACAGGAAAGCTGGTAATAGGGAACCCAAAGTCGAGAAGGGAGAGTACTGACATATCATGGGGTTGTTAACTAATGTCATAAAACAATATATGTACTAACTGTTTAGTAACAACCTAGTTTGTTCTGTAAACCTTAATCTAAAGTACAATTAAAAAAACAAAAAGTGTTGGTTCAAGAATCTGGGTCCTTATCTGCCCACAAATAAAGATGAGAAGGCAGGAAGGGGTAGAAAATCAGGACGAAAGAAAATGGGGGAACCCAGGGCAGAAATGGGGAGAGTGCTAGCACATTGTGGGGAATGAAACCAAGGTCATGAAACGCTTTGTGTACAGATTATTGAATGAGAAACTAATTTGCTCCGTAAACTTTCACCTAAAGCACAATAAAAAATAAACTAGGAGTTGGTGATGTCAAATAGAATTCTGACATTGGTGGCAACTTTAGGAAAAGAAAGGATTTATTAAAATTCAGCTCTCAATATGACCATGAATGAAGAAGGGGAGAAGAGCATGTCTTTAATCAGGTTTTATTCCATTTCCCACCACCCTTCCCTCTTCTGCCTGTGTTTGTATACAGGTGCTTAGAAATTTTGATTCAATAATCAGTTCAAACTGCACTGAAGAGCTGGAGAATGCAGGCATCGAGGTCCTCAGGTACTCCCAGGTATGACTGTGCCCACACCTGGTTACAGCTGTTGCTTACCTCTCTGTTGTGAATCCTACTTTTAGCTTATGCTTCACCTAATTAGTTTTATAAACGCAGACACAATGGCTAATCCAGTCCATTTATTCCCTTCTAGAATACTACCAGTTATTTTCTTTTTCCTAAGAAACTGTATTTTATGGATTGAATTGTGTCCCCCAAAATGTGTGTCGACTTGGGTAGGCCATGATTCCCAGTATTGTGTGATTGACCCCCATTTTGCGATTTGATGTAATTTTCCTATATGTCGTAAATCCTACCTCAATGATGTTAATGAGGCAGGAGTCAATCTACAAGATTAGGTTGTATTTTGAGTCAATTTCTTTTGAGATATAAAAGACAGAAGTGAGCAGAGAGACAGGGGACCTCATGTCACCAAGAATGAAGAACCAGGAGGGGAGTGTATCCTTTGGACCCGGGGTCCCTGTGCTGAGAAGCTGCTAAACCAGGGGGAGATGGATGACAAGGACCTTCCCCCAGAGCTAACAGAGAGAGAAAGCCTTCCCTGGAGCTGGCACCCTGAATTTGGACTTCTAGCCTCCTAGATTGTGAGAGAATAAATTTCTGTTTGTTAAAGCCACCCACTTGTGGTATTTCTGTTGTAGCAGCACTAGTGACAAAGACACTGAATTTCACATTAATGTATTAATGAAGTCAAGGTATAAAAGATTAGAAATCTAGCCATCGAATTTAGAACTAAAACTTTGATCATTGTGCTCAAATGGCTTATTGAAAGTCCTTATTTTTCAGGTTTCTATTTATTTTTTGGGAAATGTTATTATGGAATCTGTTTTTAAAGCTTACCCTTTTGGGTTTTGTAGATGGAGAGAATTATGAAATATGTTGCTCCTCCTACATTTCAGCAGAATTCTCTTGGAGAGTTAGCCTTATAAAACTGATTTTCTCTTTTTCACAGCTTCAGTCTTTCAGCAGAGGCCGTATCAAGTGATGTAATAAACGTGAACATGCTTTGTGAATGCAGAAGTGCTTGCCAGGTGGTTGGGGGTTAACATCAGAATCACCTTAGAACCTTCACTAAAATATGTGACATGCTCAACTCTCCTGACTCTCGTTCTCACCTCTTCCTCTTCATTCTGATTAAGAACGTCCAAGGAGAAACAATGATTGTGTGGTTTGAAGAAGTTTCCTTTGTGATAGCCCACTCTTTCACCTCACTCCAGCAAGAACCACTGTGCTTAGATTTA